CCACCTTCTGGTAGTTTTCTCATTACAATAATACTTCCTGTCCAAAACAGAATCTCCATCTCAAGATGACTAAAAACAAAAATCAGTCAAAAACCCATAATGCTGCTTCTTTAGTATGAAGGCAGTCTATATTATAAATGTCAGAGATTACTAAATGCTTGTCCTTAAATACCTGTTTTGTGTTGTCTTCACATTATCACCATTTCTGCCCTACTTGGTCACCATTTACTATTTGTGTATACACACACACACACACATACACACACACATTTTACAGGAAGCAGTGGTAATCTAAGATACAAGGGTTCATTTAGAAGAAGGAGTAGACTGGACTATACCTTTTCAACAAATATACAAATGCCATTTAAAAGAGACACATAGATGGGCAGGATGAACACAGACATCTATGGACAGTGCAATACTAGACTTGATGAACTACCACTAACAACTAACACTCGATTTGTGATCAAGATATTACCCTTGTCCTCAACCTAGCAGCACCAGTAACAAAAAACATAGTTACACCAGGAGCATGCAGCCAGTGACACCTCCTTATTCAGCTGGATGATGACCCAGGAGCCCATGTGTCCCACCTCTGGCCGCTTGAATGATGTGAATTCCAAGGCACATTAAACTCTTACCCTCCCCCCCCACACACAGTCCCCTGGGGGAAAAAAAAAAGAACAACAATAATGGTAAAAACTCTGGGACATCCAAACCAAATTATAAGGCACCTATCAACATATACATAACCTATTTTTCTCATCTCTTTTCCCTTCCTCTGGCTGGCCTATAATTTGGGTTCAGTATGCAGTACTCTTTTTTTTTTTGGATGGTAGTGTGGCTTGAACTTTGGGCCTGGGCACTGTCCCTTAGCTCTTCAGCTCAAGGTGAGTGCTCTACTAGCACTTGAGCCATAGAGCCATTTCCCTTTTTTTTGCTAGTCCTGGGGCTTGAACTCAGTGGTGGGAACTGTCCCTGAGCTTCATTTGCTCAAGGCTAGCACTCTACCACCTGAGCCACAGTGCTGCTTCTAGTTTTTTATGTTTATGTGGTACTGAGGAATTGAAGCCAGGGCTTCATGCATTCTAGGCAAGCACTCTACCACTAGGCCACATTCCCAGCCCCTGCAGTAATATCTTGAAGGAGGTTTCACAGCTACATACACACTACTACTATCTCTTTACCCTAATAATGTAATTATTCATCTTAATATAGATAAAAGGTTTCTGTGGTTACTTTTTAGTGCCATATATATGTTAAAAAGAATTACCTGTGGGTCCATTAACAAAGTGAATTATTATAAATTTTTAATTACACATTTTAAAATGGGCAAATTGGAGCTGGGAAGGTGGCTCAGTGATAGAGTGCTTGCCTTGCATGCATGAGGCCCTAGGTTCAATTCCTCAGCACCACATAAGCAAAATAAGCTGGAGGTGGTGCTGTGGCTCAAATGGTGGAGCGAGTGCTAGCCTTGAGCTGAAGAGCTGAGGGACAGCGCCCAGGCCCAGAGCTCAGGCCCCACAACCGACAGTCTTATTAGTGATTTTTATCTAGGTATGGAAAAGTGAATGATTAACAGTAAAGCAAATTAGCTTTATTTTTCTTTCTGAATCAGGCAGGTTTTTGAAGAGCTTGGGTTTTTTGATAGTATCTAGAGTATGTATCTGTCTATTCTAGTGCTTTGTCTCCATGGAGATTAGTGCAGTGGGGTTATGGTTTTAGGAGTCACAACCACATTGCAAGTATTCTGAAAGAAAACAAAATGTTTCATGGCTTTTTCAAATCATGTGATAGCTTTGCTACAACTCTAGATTTTTAGCATTTGTTTGCTAACATTTGTCAAATGTTACATAAAGAAGACTCAAGGGGCAAAAAAAAAAGTGGGGGGGGGGGCAAATTGTATAGTAAGCCAATTATATCTCTTCAAATTTTTTATGCAGAGACTGATTATTTATAATCAGTATCAAGTAAATAAATATATTGGAAATACTAGAACTGGAGATAGCACTTCTTAATTTACACACAGATAAATAATGAAATGCAGATCTATGTATACCTATAATACAGATTTCTTAGCTCTGATTACTGAGTACATCTACAAGCAATAATGCCCTCATTAGGAATAAGCACATATAACATCCAGATATTGGTTTCTAAAAGAAAATAAAGCCACTTGGAGAAATGACTGATTTCAGGGCTGGTATAGGAAAAATATAGGGTGGATCTGAAGTACCTATTCTTCTAAAAAGCAAATCCTTAGAAGAATGAAAGGGACATGTTGAAAGGACACCAGAATCAACACTAAAAAGTTCCCAATGGTGAACTCTAGACAATAAATACATAATGAAATGAATGTAGATAACATCTTAGCCAGTTGGTGAAGTTAACAGAAGCTGACTTGATACAACTCCTAATGCAATGTAAATTTCTGAGGTAACACTCCCAAAATTGCATGAACAAAAAAAGAAGAAACAAATTCAAGGTGTTTAACACTGGTAAGTCTGAAGCATGGAGCCAAGGATGATAGCAGGTTACAGGGCAGGGTGAACTAAGGGTCTGATTATGGAATTTTTAAGCCAGGCTAAGGATTTTACTTTATAAGCCAGACACAGTGGTTCATACCTGTAATCAGGAGGCTGAGATCTGAGGATCATGGTTTAAAGCCAGACTGGGGAGGAAAATCTATGAGACTCTTTATCTCCAATTATTCAGCAGAACACTGGAAAGCAGAACTATGGCTCAAGTGGTAAAGTGCTAGCCTTGAGCAAAAAAAGCTAAGGGAATGCACCATGCCCTAACTTAAAGCCCCAGTTCTGACACATATTCAACATGCACTAAATACATACACATATATTCCTTTTTTTTTAGGAGAATTAAGAGATTCTAAAGAATTTTATGCATAAGATATATAATTTCATTTTTACTTTAGATTACCAAAGGGCTATAGATTAGACAACAGACTTGAGAAATATGCATGGATACTGCTGTACAGTCGAGATAATAAGGGGCTGACTGATAGTGGTGGGAATCTAATAGAGAAGGATATATGCAATTTTTCTTAACTCACAACACTTGGAGTGACTCAATTTTTTTTAGCACCCTCTAGGGGGTGAACATAACCTAAGAAGCTGAGTGCAACAACTTGATATATGTGCCCTATCACCTTTGTGCACACACAAGTATCTCCACACCACAATCAGACTGAACATGACCTTCATTATTTCTTCTACAGGACTTTCATGGGGTATTTGCTTTTAATCATAGAATCACTGAAAAGATCTTCACAGGAGGACACTGAAAGGTACAGAATGCTAACACTACAGACCACCTCCAGATACAAGTTAGTAGAACATTTGACAGATTGTTACTATGTTCCTTTTGCAAATAATATATATCCCATGATGCCTGTCAAGTTTGCAACACCCTGGGTTGCTTAAGTGCGCAATGTGTGAATCATAGATACAAACCTTGTCTAAAAAGTAAAAATTAGGCTGACATGAAACTAAATGTGGAGAGATACAAAATAATAGAAGAACCACAGGGACTTCCCACATGCCACTGAAATGTGTATATGCGTAGATGAGATTGAAAGTGACCAGAATAAACAGGAGAAGAAAGATCAGACTGTGAAGCATTTAGGTGGATGGATGAAAAGGGAACAACTTTAAGTACTTCTGATTTATTGTCAAAAAAAGTTCAAAAACAATCTTCTGGGCTGAGAATGTAGCTCAGTGATAAAGAGCATGCCCAGTAGGCAGGTGGGAGGTCCTGGATTCAATACTTAGCAATGTCAAGGGGACAGATCCCATTTCACTCACAGTTTAAGAATTTTATAGCGAATGTCACAGACAGAACTTTTAAAAGTGAACAGTGTTGAGTACATACAATGTCCCTCCTTTCCCCTGAAAAATGTTTATTATTATTATTATTATCTTTAAGTAGTTGTACAAAGAAGTTCCCATTCAACAAAACAGTATATGAGTACAAGGTGTCTGATAACATTGTCACCCATCGCTCCTAACCCATCCCTTATTTTTTTTTTTAAATTGAGATTAGGTGATTACATAAATTTCACCTATTTCACAGTATTGTGGAATATTGATACTTAAAGTCATTAACACGTTTTAACCTTCACAACTGCCAAATGTTTTTAAGGCAAAGTTAATTGCTGCATGTTTTCCGTATTGTTCTTTAGCCATCTTTCCCTGCTCCAAGTAAGATTAAGAAAAGGTTTTAGTGAAGAGAGCGAGGGGAATAAGTTTAGATGACAACAAGTATCACACAGAGCTACAGAACTACTCAGGATGTTTATGTTAATGGTGCTTTAGGTTATCTAAAATTGATTGTTTTGTCCCTTTAAGCATCTGTGACCAAATCTGTTCCTGAATCACCCAGACTCCAGACATGTATTATTAAAATGTGTCAGCTAAAGAATAGTTGGGATGATTTTATTCACTAAGCAACAGGCCTATTTCTGAGTAATACACTGTCAGTTTTCTTCAAGTTGGCCTCTAAATGTTAACACCAACAATAGAGTCCTAACACCTGGGTAAGCTCCAAGACACTCATAATGGCAGGTCCCACGGCATCTGGTCCTGGCACCTGTCCACACACTTCTGTGAGTCACTTCTGAACACTTCGAGCAGCTTGATTAACAATACAAATATGTGTGGAATGAATGACAGGAACAGAAAACCCTTTCCTTTAGGCTGCTTTCTTTAGTGTTTCTTCTCTACGATTCCGGTCAACATTAACTTCAAACTGCTCATGTGAGGACAAAACTAGATGGCTCTGTGGGCAGAAAAAACTTGTCCTCGGGACACTCATCCTACAGGACATTCGTAACAGAATTAGTAATACTAAGTAAGTATTCACCATTGACGCAAGAAAGCATTAAATAGTCACAGAAGATATTCCCTCAATTAATTCAGCTTAACAGATGTACTTTAACAGGGAGGGGGAGAAGCACTTCCTGAAAAGCAACCCAGTCCACTCACCTAGACACTTGAAAGGTATAACGAAGTGACTCTTGCATTGTTTTTTATCCCTGCGACACCAACTGTCAATATTGACTCGCTGGTTTGCTTCCATCACATTTGTGATCTGTAGGTCTGGATACATCTGTGAGAGAAAACAGCCATACACACTAAATCAACCCATGGACATGAACTTTCACCAAAGAATAATTATCTACATTTACTCAACCTCCCTTCTTATCCCATATAAATCTTAACTCCTACTCTGCTACCCCTGGTTCCAACTGTACTCATCAAATAAGAAAAACATTAAACTATGGGTTTTCTTTTGACAGGTTAGACTTCTGACTGCTTCTGTGCATTCTTTTTTTTTAGGTGGGGAGGGGGGTCAGTTGTGGGGCTTGAACGCTGGGCTTAGGCGCTGTCCCTGCGCTGCAGCTCAAGGCGAGTGCTCTACCGCTTGAGCCACAGAGCCACTTCCGGTTTTCTAGAGGTTTGCTGGAGATAAGAGTTTCACGGACTTTCCTTCTCCAGGCTGGCTTTGAACTATGATCCTCAGATCTCAGCCTTCTGAGTAGCTAGGATTACAGGTGTGAGCCACCGACACCAGGCTTGCTTCTGTGCATTCTATTTTAAAAAGAAATCTGTACCTAACAGCAAACTAAAGTAGCAGGCTTTCAAACCCAAGCAAATCTGATTCGGTATCCAGTTTGCTTAAGGTTTTGTGTAAACTGCTAAATTCATAAAGTGAAATATCTAGGAGAAAAGCCTATGAGAGTTTCAGTTAGTGAAATAACAGAATAAAATACTTCAATGTTCCCTATTGGCCCTATATGTTAATCCTGGTAAGAAGTTAAAACATCGTCTATTCTTTTGTTTTGAACTAGATAAGTTGAATCAGATAGAAGGTGATCACTTAAAATCCTGATGGCTTTTAGAAAACACAAGAATATATAAAGGCCAGCCAGGTGCTGGTGGCTCACATCTGTAATACTGATTACTCAGGAGGCTGAGATCTGAGGATCGCAGTTGCAGGCTAGGCAGCAAATCTGTGAGACTCTTTATCTCCAATAAACTATTTTTTTAAAAAGTTGGAAGTGGAGCTGTGACTCAAGTTGTATGTAGAGTGCCAGCCTTGAGCAAAAGCAGCTCAAGGACATCACGCAGGCCCCGAACTCAAGGCCCAGGACTAGCAAAAAAAAAAAAAAAAAGAATAAATATACAGGACAGATTTTGCTTTTCTCTTTTTCAAGTCAAGTGAGAAAACAAAAGAATCAGACTTGGAATCTATAGCCACTTTTTCCACATTGCTGGAGTATTCCTTCTGGAACTGAATGAGGGATCTTAATCATCTGACATAGTGAGAAACAAAAGGCCCAGGCACCATTATTAGCACCCTGGTCTTGGGTCAAGGGAACAGAATGATAGAATATCTATTTCCAAAGTATGCAGATGCAACTCTGGTCCAGAAAAAAAAAAAAAAGGTTTTAGTTTCCTGGCAACAATCTTACCTCTTGACAGTACTGAAGAACTTCTTCTTTTGTTCCAAAGCAGCTCTTGGTGCCTGTTGGGTCTGGTTCCCATTTCCCAGTCTGAATGTTCACATGCATATTTAACTTCCCACAAAACATTGCAATCTGAGGCTCAGCAACAGCAAATCCTGTTCCAGCATTGGCTGCAAGAGCCTACCAAAGGAAAAACATTCTAGGTTTATTCCAACAAAGCTGGCAGGGTAATAGTCATTCAATAGTTTGTGACAGAACTTTTAACTTGACAATCTTCATTCTACTCTTTCTTTCACATACCGATACTCATTCTTAATTCACTCACACACCACCAACAACAAAATTTTATCAAGTAGCTGTTTTGCCAAGCAATGAGCTAAGTGCCTAAAACACAAGGAAAATACCATGGCCCTATAATCCCAGGATTCCAGTCCAATGCCAAATCAAAATCCAAGTATCTGATCACATTCACAGTTCTAAGGATAAAAAGAATACAGTACTGAGAAAATACATAAAAAGGAATCTAACAGAGCTTGTGTAGAAAGATAAGGAAGTTTCTTCAAGAGAATGATCCTTGAGTTGAGCCTTGGGCTTACTGTGGATACAGAATGCAGAAAATGAGATAGAGAAAAGATGGAGAGACACCCAGATTGTAGACCAAAAGAAAGAATTTTAGTTTACCACTGGATGTTTTCAGATATTTATGCACAATACCTTTTTGTTTTTGTTTTTCGGATCAGTCATGGGGCTTGAAGTCTGAGCCTGGGTCTATCCCTGAGCTCTTCAGCTCAAGGTAAGTGCTCTACCACTTGAGCCACAGTACCACTTCCTGTTTTCTGGTGGTTACTTTGGAGATATGAGTCTCACAGACTTTCCTGCCCGGGCTGGCTTTGAACCATGATCCTCTGATCTCAGCCTCTTCTGAGTAGCTAGGATTACAGGCATGAGCCACCAGCACCCGGCCACAATACCATTTTCAAGATGCAATTCTGATATTTTTTCTGGTCTCTAAGAATGTACTGAAAGGACACAAGGGTGTGCCCAGGAAAATAAAATGGCTCAGAAAGATGGAACCCCTAACGCTGGAACAGAGAGGAAGGAAGGATGGTGGGGACACAATGTTTTAGGCTTGTGCTGGATAAAAATAATCAACTATAGCCAGGCACCAGTGGCTCATACTTGTAATCCTAGCTACTCAGGAGGCTGAGATCTGAGGATTGTGGTTTAAAGCCAACCCTGGCAGGAAAGCCTGTGAGACTCTTATCTCCAATTAACCACCAGATAACCAGAAGTGGTGCTGTGGCTCAAGTGGTAAGAGTGTTGGCCTTGGGAAGGATTGGGGGGGGGGGGGGGGGGGGGGAGGCTGGGAAGGGAGGTGAAGGGTAAACAAAGGAGGAGGCTGCAATGCTTGGTAAGAAATGTATGCATTATCTTGCCCATGTAATTGTAACCCCTCTGTACAGTATGTTCACAAATAAAATAAAAAAAAAAAGAGTGTTGGCCTTGAGCTGAAGAGCTGAGGTATAGCACCCAGGCCCAGAGTTCAAGCCCAAGACCAACCAAAAAACAAAACAAAAATATTAACTATTCTATGAAGTCATTGTTTGGTCAGTATCTTATTGTTTGAGAATTTTAGGTGAGCGCAAGGGAAGGAATGACATCCAAAAAGAAATGTACTCATTATCTGACTCTATACATCACCTTTTTAATAAGAATTTTTAAAAAAGAAATTCAGGTGGTGATATAAAGCAGGCAAGAATTACAGTAGTAAGCTGGGCACCGGTGGCTCACACCTGTAATCCTAGCTACTCAGGAGGCTGAGATCTGAGGATCGCGGTTCAAAGCCAGCTTGGCAGGAAAGACTGTGAGACTCCTATGTCCAATAAACCACTTGAAAACTGGAAGTGGCACTGTGGCTCAAGTGGTAGAGCGCTCACCTTGAGCTGAAGAGCTGAGGGACAGCGCCCAAGCCCAGAGTTCAAGCCCCGTAACAACAAAAAAAAAGGAATTACAGTAGTAAGACTTCTATGAAGCACTGTTTTGGAAGCACACAAATATGTGTGCATCTAATTGTCCTTCATCTGTGAGGCCACAGATATATGTGAACCCAATACATATTTTTCCTACACATTCATAAGACGAGATATATTTTTATCTTTTTTTATTTTTTGCCAGTACTGGGGCTTGAACTCAGGGCCTGGGCACTGTCCTTGAGCTTCTTTTGCTCAAGGCCAGCACTCTACCACTTGAACCACAGCGCCACTTCTGGATTTTTCAATGTATGTGGTACTAAGGAATTGAACCCAGGGCTTCAAGCAAGTGAGGCAAACACTCTACCACTAAGCCACATTCCCAGACATATGATAAAATTTAATTTATACATTAGACAAAATAAGAAATAAACACCAATAACTTAATAATTAGGATCGTGCTTAGTGAAATAATTTTCTACTAGTACAAGAGACACATAAACATTTGTTATATGGCTGGAAGTTAATTTGAAATTAAAATGTTGTCAATACCTATCACTGCTGGAAAACACCTCAATTAGATCCAACAAACAATCAGCACTTTTATCAACTAAAACTGAATGTAGTCCTGCTGTGAGAAATAATCATTTTAAAAGAGAAAGGTCATGCCTTCAGGTAAACGGACTATGAAGCCACAGACCGACGTAAATTCCCAACTCCTCCAAGATATTTGGTGAAAGGATCACATACTTATAAGTAATAATCTAATGATAACTAATTCATATTGTATGCACAAGACAAATGTGCTTAATTTTCATACTAAAGCTCAAAATGCATACCAAAAAAACTCTTTTGTGACTGGTATCTAAGGACTGTGGCTAGAAATTTGGATTATAATACAGAGGAAAACAAATTATACTTTATTATTTTTTAATTTTTTCTTTTTTTTTGCTAGTCCTGGGGCTTGAACTCAGGGCCTGGTCATTGTCCCTGAGCTTCTGCTCAAGGCTAGCACTCTACCACTAGAGCCAGAGCACCACTTCCGGCCTTTTATGTTTATGTGGTACTGAGAAATCAAACCTTGGCCTTCATACATGCTAGGCAAGCACCCTACTACTAAGTCACATTCCCAGCCTAAGTTATACTTTCTTTTTTTTTAACAAATTAAAAATCTGAATTTTACAAGTATGAATCACAAAAATACAGAATTATATCCATAATTTCTGTGTACAATTAATTAGGTTTTTTGTTTTTTTATAGTTATTTTTTAAATTGTGATTAAGCGATTACATAAATATCACAGTATTGTGACATAATGATACTTAAAAGTCACAAACACATTCTTAACCTTCATGGAGCAAACAGTCTTTATCATGGTCTATAAAGTTTGAGTTGAGAATTGACAATACAGTTATTTCTTCCACATCGGGTGATATGTACATTTCTTTCCTTTTGCTTAGTGTCAGCTGCTACACTTTCAAGTTATACTTCTATAGGTAGAGAAAACCCAGAGGCAGTGGTGTGTGTACGTATATGTACAGAAATTAGCATTCTTCCCAAATCTTTGCTTCTTATCTCAAAAGCCTACATAGAAATAAAGAAAAGCCAGTAATCCAGGACAGCTCCAACATTGGAGTGGTCAATTCTAGGTCAATTCTAGGGCAAGCAGCCATTCATCAGCACCAATGTTTCGTGTGTTACTCATTATCACTACTGTTGGCTAAAAGACCACAAGAGTTCCAACTGTATAAACGCTCAGTTTATGAGTCAACCACAGAGGTCACCACATCAGTGTAAGTGCATTTGATTTCTGTGCTGAAATGGTCAACCTTACCTTCCCTAAAGAGAATCTAAAACACCAGAGGTTAAAGCAACAGGAAGAGGAGTGAAGCAGCAACAGATCCTCATAGCAGTTACCACCAAGAAAAAGGAGAGTAACTGGAATCAATCCAGACAGCTAATAGGCTATAGTGATTCACTTCTGAGTTCAGAAAGATTAATCCTTGTGGTCATGAGAGACTCTCAAGAAGGTATCATCTGAAATATAAAAAGCCTCTGTGGACCATGTCTTGGAATCAACTAATCAAACATAGCCCCAAAGCTCACCTAGTGCATGATAGGGTCACGTCTTCTAAAATGTTCTTACTTCACTTTGAAAATGTTCTTATTCAACGTGCTCTCCATTTTCTTATACATGGACCGTGCCTTGATCCATTACATCAACATATAAATCAATCCTGTTTCCTAATCTAACTTGTTACAAATGGGATTTCACTGCCAAGTCAGCACTTCCGATATCCTGTGAACCTGGAATCCTCTATGAAAGAAAATTAATGCCCCATGTTCTGGCACTTAAGCCAGGCCTTGTGATCTATGCACATTGCAGCACTTTTAAGGCTTTAAAAACAAACTGCATCAATTGCTTTTCTAGCTTCCACTTCACTTAATAATTCATCCTTAATAAGAAATTCCATTTTATTAATTTGGCTCAAGGAAGAGTTTAGCTATCCAAGGAAAGAAATTCAACTTGGTTAAAAAAAAAAGTGTTTCTAATAATGGTTCAAACTCTGAAATAGCATAAAGCAATAAATTCATAAATATAATAAATCTGAACATATGTTAAATCAAGTCCTTTAATCACTAAGTTCAAGATTCACAGCTCCTGGACAACCAATACCCTATACATCTTCACAAAGCTGCTCAGGACCAACCCAACCCTCCTACCCCAAAGCTAGTACATAAGTTCAGTTAGTTCTTTCCTTGCTAAAGCACAATCAAGCCTGGCTCCTAGGGTTGTATCAGTGCCTGCTAGAAGTAGCATTTTCCCCAAGGCCGGGATTTGTCCTACTTCTGGAAATCACATTTCCTCAGACTGAAAGGTCCTATGTTGTAACCATATCCCAGAGTGGGAAGGCACAGTCAACACAGTTCTACTTTTAACAGACACAGAATGTAGCTACACTGAATTTGTATCAGGCATCTGCAGCATCTAGTTACCACCTGGTGGCTATTACAGCAAAAGGCATGATTTACTTCAACATCTCCTCCCCCCCACCCCAAAGGATAAAGCCAGTAAAATGACAATTAAAATTTTTGAAGGAGCTCCATGTCATTTTCTTGTTTGTTCAAATGCTGAATGACACTTCATGATTTTTAACTTATAAAATGGCTTACATCAGTGCTCACAAACCTTCACGAAAGATTTA